GGAATCAGGTCATTAAGAATTTACGGACAGTTTCTTCAGAGGACACTATAATGAGTTTAAGATTGGAGGTCATTACAAGTTCAGATGTGGTCTTTACCCTTCTTAGGCATAAAGCAATAGTTGCAAGAAGATGTTCTAATCCTATTAGGACTCTTAAATCTATGCTGTAATGATCATATGTAGAATACATAAGTAAGGAAACTTTTATTACTTATAGAAAGTTGTTACTTTCACTCTTTCACTTCATGAGTAGAAACAAAATATACAGTGCATTCTGGATTAATCTTTTTTGGAATTAAAGTAGATTTCTTAAAGTGGAAAAAAAAAAAGGAAGGGAGGGTACAGATACCTAGAAAGCTCAAGTAGAATTAAAATAAACCCTTAGTGCTAGAGCAGTCCTTCCACTGTGAGCTAGCAATGCTTCTCAGGGCAACTTTCCCACAGAGGAAGGCCCTTGTCCAGAGCCTTGGGGGCCTGACTCCAGATGACCAGAAGCAGTGAAGGAAAATACAGATGTGACAGTGTTCTGTAAAGTCAGCAATGCTTACAGCCACAGGGAGATGATTTTAAAGCAGAGATCAGCTAGACCGAGGGGCACAATTTTCTTTTATATAGATATAGAAAAGGCACTTTATACATCCACACGCAATCACAAAGCTGTTCTTTTCAAGGTCACAGAAAAGGCAGCACGGGTTTTGCACCATACTCTGGTCCCTGAGCACATCTCCAGGGGGGCCCAAGCCAGGGCACAGGGTTTCTCTGTATGCAGTGCTGCAGAGCATTGCTATGCCCCAGCACTGCTGAACAGGGCCTGTTTCTCAGCACCATCAATAGGTGCTAGCTAGCAACCGTGCTGAGCCTTGCCACCATGACAAGTAAAAAAAGAGCATCTCAGTACAGCTGTCCCTGCATTTTTAAATTAGGAGTATGGCATCTTTTCACACATTCTAGGGCAATGTGTATTTCCTTTTCTGTGAACTTTATGTGTATTTTCCCCATTCTTTTCAGTTTTTTTCTCCCTTGATTCTTGGGATTGAACTCAGGGCCTTACACATGTTAGGCAAGTGCTCTACCACAGAGCCATATATTCCCACTTGCTGAGAGCCACAGCCAGTCTGTATGGCCCCTGGGCATTTTGCCAACAGTATTGATTGACAGGCAAGGCATAAATATCCGCCTCTGCCGCTGCTTTTGAGTTCTCCCTATTTTGGAGTTCTCCCGCTATTTTGGAGTCCTCATGGGGATTTCCGGGGATTCCCCGAGAGTTCCCATTGGTTGGGGAAGTGCAGGAGGAGGGATTTCCCAGG